TTTTCTAGAAAAAAAAGTATATATATTGAATTTAAAAATTTATTTCATATATTGTACTTATAAGAATCTAAAGGCTAATATCTTATGAATTTTCATAAAAAATTAGTAACCTGAAAAGTAAAATTTTATTAGAAAGCTACCTCTTTATTAGAGGCATAAAGCTTTAAAAAGTTCTGGTATCTGTGGATAAATGTGATTCGCAGCTGGAATTAGATAGAATTCAGCAACAAATTTAATCTTATTGTTTACTTTTAAAGATACAAATGTTGAGAAACCTTATGAACATATATGCACACATACATATGGGTATACATGTGTATTTGATATGGGATATCAAATTCTGATGTTTTACTTTCGGGAATAAATAAATATATTTCAAATATAAAAGAAATAACTCCAATCATTTTGTTAGCTATCATAATAAAATTTAATAATATATTAAGCTGGAGCTGGCCCAGTGGCACGGTGGTTAAGTTCGCGCATTCCGCTTTGGTGGCCTGGAGTTTGCTAGTTTGGATCCTGGGTGCAGACCTACTCACTGCTCATCAAGCCATGCTGAGGCAGCTTCCCACGTAGAAGAACTAGAAGGACCTACAACTAGGATATACAATTATGTACTGGGGGCTTTGGGGAGAAAAAAGAAAAAAAGAGGAAGATTGGCACCAGATGTTAGTTCAGGGCTAATCTTCCTCAAAAAAATTTAAAAAAATAATAATAATAATTTATTAAGCAAAAAAGAATATATATTAAATCTACATATAGAACTAGCAGCTGGCATATAGTTTTATTTTTTTATTAATAGGAGGTAGAAAATGCATATAATATAAATAACATAATAAATGGGATATAATGTATTATGTATATGTATATATATATACACAAATACATTCACATATATAGTGAATTGATTCTGCAAATAGTATATAATTTAATTTTTTGTCAACAGGAGCTACAAAATATTTAACATTTTGTATTAGATGAAATAAGATGAGGTTTGACTACAATTAGATTAAATATTTCATAACATAATTACATAAAGTAGGTTTTAAATTCTTTTTGGAACAGTACAGAATTAATCTGAAAGAAATCACAGAACTGTGGCATCCACGGGTTTATTCGATGCACCTTTAAAAGTTTGGTTTGTTCAGAAAATATTCCAGTTATATTTAAAAGAATCAGTGTCACTAACCTACACTATTCGGTTGTTTCAAAGTGCTTTCTTTCAAGCCAATGACACTTCCTGGGAACAAGTATTGAGAATAATGGAAAAGAACTGCTTACGTTTAAATTTTTAAAAGCCATTTTTGGCTCTCAGTATTTCCTATTGATACTCTTTTTGCTTTGCTCTGGTGGGACTCTCCAAGAGCAACGCACTGTTTTACATTATTCAGCTAAATAAAAGGAAAAGTCATTAAATGAAAGTTGTCATTGCTCCAATCACCCCACTCCACCATCTCTCTGGCTTCAGAACGTCCCATCATGACACAGAACACCTGCGTAACAGATGCATGCAGGACGAGCAGGAAGGCCTATTGGTCTTTTGGGTTGGCATTGTAGCCATTTGGGGATGGGTGAAGGGTATTTCTTTATCTTGTAAAGTAGAAGCAGTACTATTATAAACTTAGATCTGTTCTCAGGCAGATCAATTTTAGGAAAGCATACAAATGTAACTTGATTTCTTTAAAGCTATCTGCGGTTGTGTACCCCTTAGAAAGTGAGGTGTTAACATATCCACGATCTGTATCCTCATGTGAAGAATACCATTCAAGAGAACAGTTCCAGGTAAACAAAGCACACCTACCATACACAGCACAATAACATTTACAATGTTATTTGGTTTTCACAGTTATAAGTTTTAAAAAATTATATATTAAAAATATAGGGCCGGCCCCGTGGCTTAGCGGTTGAGTGCTCGCCCTCTGCTGCTGGCGGCCTGGGTTTGGATCCCAGGCACACACCAACGCACTGCTTCTCCAGCCATACTGAGGCCGCGTCCCACATACAGCAACTAGAAGGATGTGCAACTATGACATACAACTATCTACTGGGGCTTTGGGGGAAAAAATAAATAAAATTATAAAAAAATATATATATATATAATATTTTATAATGGATCAGTGCCTTGGACCTTCATCATGGACTGTTTGGTAATAGAATTTAATATTTTAAAATTTTGACAGGATGAAAAATAAATAGGCATAAAGAGTATAAAGATACTAGGTACTATACCTAATACCCTAAAGATATATGTATACATAAAAACATATGCCACAGAAAAGCAGATTCAAAAATTCATCCATATTAATGATCTGTTTAATAATCAATCCTGCAACCCTGAGATTATTTGACTGGACCATTATTCCACATCAGATTAGAACAGTAAACTCAACCTATAAATAACACGGTGGTTGAATTTTTAGTTTGGTAAAAATAGCAATAACTGGACAAATGAAACTAACATTTCAAGTGCATTTAAATAAAATGCTTCATGTAGACACAGAGAAGTTGAATGAACAATGCCACAGCCTGATAATTTAGGTTATATAAAATGGCTAAAAATTATTGGATATATCTGAAGGGGAAACAGTATAAATGAAGAGATTAATAAAGAGTCATTTAAACAAATGAAAATCAAATGTTTTAAGAGACTATCATTCTAGATTACAAAAAAAAATTCTTAACTCCAATTTCAAATATAGAATTGTATAAAATAATTCATCATAAGATAGTGATAAACTCATAACATTTCTTCCCCAATAATAATATTAAAAATATGCTTTTAAATTCAGAATATGTATTAGAGATGTTTTGTAAAATACTACATATTGCTTTAAAACTCTCATTGCCTCTATGACTCTACAAACGAAAAGCTTATAAATAAAAAATAATAATCATTGTAATGAAATATACTTCCTTTAGTCTACTTCAACTAATGTTTGTTATGACATATCTTCTGTACCCAAGGTAGGGTGTATAAGATGGTTCCTTAAAAGTCCATTTTCTCATGTAACTTTGTGAATAATACTATTAAGAAAATATATCCAGGTGATTTTAAGTCAATTCTGCTCCTAGTAATCCTTCAAGACATTAGTGTACATGGTTTTGAACACATATATCCGTTAGACTGTTTTAATCAACATTTTTGAACAAGTATCCTAGGGGCCAGCCGGATTGCGGAGTGGCTAAGTTTACACACTCTGCTTCAGTGGCCCGGGGTTCACAGGTTCAGATCCTGGGCATGGACATACACACCACTCATCAAGCCATGCTGTGGTGGCATCCCACATACAAAATAGTGGAAGATTGGCACAGATGTTAGCTCAGGGCCAATCTTCCTCACCAAGAAAAAAAAAAGTATCCTAAACAACTATTTAATAGTTTTTCTGCTGACTTGATGAATCAAGGCAATAATTTAAGAAATGATAATTAAACAACTTTGTCTGGATTTGCAATTTATGCTAATCATTACATGAAACAATTTTAAAATAATCCCACAGGGAAATTCAAATCAAAAGAAAAGAACAGATTCTTTATTAAATGCTAGGTATTGATTTATGGAGAATATGATCTTATAATATTCTTATAGAATTCAATTTATAAGTACAAGTAAGAAAACATTATTTGTTTTTCTTTCCTCCATTTCCAATTGGAATAGACCTATACACAAGCTGTTATTTCTAGATGATGACTATTAACTCATTTGCTTAAACTTTGACTATATTCTAGACACTATCCATTGGAAATCAACTGCAAAAAGACTTTTTCTGACCTCAGGAAATTTATAAATTAATCTAGAATCTCTAAACCTGGATTTGATAGCTGAGGCATGTCTTGGGTTCTTGGGTTCTCACCCTGGATTTGTGAGTCAGGAAACTCGTCTTTTCTCCTCTCAATAGCTTCATAAACACTTTCATTTCTGGATGGCTTTGTCACAGTTGAGTTTCACCAGCTTAGCGCTCTTTTGTTGGACAAGTTACAAATTCATATTTTCCAAAATAACATACACTAAGTGGATTTTACCCCACAGAGTGAAGTGATCATCATCTGCTCAGGCAATGCTGAGGCTCCAAATTTAGATCCTACTGTTTGCATTCACAGTAGGTCTGGGGAGATAGCAACAGAAGCCAGCAAGTTCTCCTCTGGAGGAGATATTCTCAAGAGCCTGTTGCTAACATGTGCAGTAATAACCAAAACATCGCAATTTTCTCAAGTCTGGCTTAAACGTTTGCTGTTTCTCTCTTATACTAACTGTATCTCAGGATGGTATCCCTGGCTCCCTATTGTTCCTTCCAGACATAATTCTACTCCTTCCTGTAAAAATCCCTGCCCCTCTGAGGCTCTTGTCCTATAGCTATATCCCTTTTTCCTAGACTTATTGCTTCCAACTTTTGGATTTGCAACCATCTGATTCAGTCACTGAAGATCTTAGCTATTCCTGCAGGAATCCCTGTCCACCACATCCAAGCACACCCAGTTAACTCCACTCCTTCAGGATGATACATGATACATACTGACTGGGTACGTTTGTGCCTCCAAGATCATTATCCTCCACACTATCTCAGCCACCCTGTCCCACAGTTATCACCTAAAAATGAAAAATAATACTGACAATAAAATAAGAAGTCAAATTCAAAATCAATAAATCTGACCATAATGAGAGTAAAGATCACGGGCATCATCTTCTTGGACTATTTCCAAGGCTATAGCATTCACCCCTTATTCCTGCAATTCCGACTTAAGATTGGTCTGTGTGTAGATGAATTCACACATCTACTGAAGAAGGCATCAATTAAACAATCAACTGAAAAATAGTGAAATCAGCTTCATTGGAAAAAATCAAGTATTTCTTTTCCTAGCAATAAATCATGATCTAATCATTAAATAAAAATTCTACATTAAAAATAAAGGCTACAACTCAAGAGAGATATATTTGAGTCATTCTAAAAATCAGTATTACCAAAAGAGAAAAATAATTTTTTTCAAAGGTAAAAAGAACTAACCTTTTTTTTTCAAGGGCGGCTCCTCTATTTCTCCTAAACCAAGACAAAACAGTAAATTAGAAAAAATTTTAGCATAGCATAATATTGCTTTTCTATTTTCCATTTTCTTTTACTCATGTTAAAAAAACCATCTATTAGTTTTGACAATAATAGTCCTTATATTACTTTGCTTCCCAAAATCCAGTTTTTAGGTATAAACTTCGTTTATATACATTTATTTGAGATAGTTTCACTTTTATAAGTTCAATAAAATTGTGGCAGTGATCCAAATTACACATTATAGTTCCTATATCATGTTCATTTCAGTTCTTTATTGTTCGTCTCAACCTCTCACTGGGACCACAGGAATACAAATTCAGACAAAGTCATAGAAAGGGCTAAAATGATAAGAGCTTTCCTAGTAGTCAAGGCTGAATGCATAATTTCTGATGACTAAGGCTGACCCAAAATGTCATCTAAAAGACAGAATCACAATGCTTTGTTCTTTTCACATCTTCTCAATAGATATCAGAAGTTTATGTGTGGTTTGAGTTTGTTATTTCCTTTTATTCATTAATATATATGAGAGAGTGCATAGGTTAGTTGCATAATTGTGACATTTAGAATGTGTCCTTCCATTCCACACCTCCATTTGGTTCAATAAATTTACTTTTGATTGCGATTTTAGTAGGATTGATTTCTACTATTTAACTGCGCATAAGACTTATGGGTATAAAACATTTATATGTATATTTAGGTTTGCTACTGTTATTTCAATCTTGAGAATAAACTTGAGAGATAGCTACTATTGTTTCCCCAAGAAGCATATAAATGTGAGTTTATATTGCGAGTTTGTAGTAGCGCATAATAAGATCCTCCCTATTGTAATACTACTCTAATGTTAGCACTTAATTTTGACATCTTGGCCATAATGGTAGATAAGCTATAAGATGAAAGCCAAACAGAGACCAATTCACTGAGTTTGGCAGCCTGTTGATACTCTATTAGCACTCAGAAGTGTATTCCTTTTAGGTTAGCCTGACCCAACTGTTCATTTGTGCTTAAATTTAAGCAAACCACTGTAATGCATCTCTAATACTGGTCCTAGCAGTTCGATATTTCCCTATGCTCTTTGTACCTTTATCAGTGTCCTCGTCTCCATCATCATCTTCTTCATCGCCATCAGATGAGATGATGTCAGACAACAAAGAAAAGAAGCCATAGACCCAGTCCGTGGTTTCCTCCACAGCATCATGTACAAGTTTTAGAGGATCTGAGCCAATCTTGGAAATAGAGCTTGCTAAAAGTAATTGAAAATAAAAGAAATTTTTAAAATCATCCCCAAAGAAACTAAGAAAAGCTGTTTTTCCTGGTTTGTTCTTTTGACTCAATGAATATTTCAATTTCATGAATTTAAATATCTCTTGTCTACAACTTTTTTGCTGAGAAATAGAAACTGCATTTTTTTGTAGTATACATGTGTATTTGATTTAAAAGAAAAGTTATTGTGTACCTCTGGTACCAAACACTATGGGGTTACCAAGAATGAAATTGTCCTTGAGAAATTTATAATCTAAATAAGAGTTCAACATAGGAAAAAATTAGGAATGAATTAAAATAATGTATTCTTATGGTACCCAAATTGCAATATAAACCCCAAGTTATGGATGTTCAGGAACAGAAGAAATCACTGTTGGCCCTCATTGTACTGGAAAGCATCCTTGAGAAGATAGCTCTGTAAATTTTCAGACAAACAGTAGGTTCCAAGTTGACCTAAATAGTTGTGACTAAAGTAAGACTGATAGGTCCATTTACTATAATTTGTGATATATTAGGAAAAATCTGGAATTGTCAAGGTAGTGATCATATCAAGTTCCAGCTAGATTCAATTGGTTAATCCTTGTTAGACATCCCGGTACATGATAATCAAAAGTATTTGAACTTCTAACAACTTCAATGGATAGAATTAAGAAAAATTGAAGTTATAAGTCTTCCATTTTTTATATCCTAAGAGATATAAACTGTTTGTGAAATGAGAGATTAAATGATAAAAATGCAAGCAAATAGAGATATTAGGGATTTCCAAAATATTGTTCTTCTCATTCTAATTATATGAAAATTGCTCTGAAGAGGTAAGGATAGCGTTTAAGATCTGATTGAAGAGGTGCTATATCTAGAAATATGGTATAAGTTTTGCCTGATTTTTCGTCAATCTGTAATTAAATTTTAGATTTACGTTTTCCTTAATTTTAAAAACTATTTTAGCTTTTCAGAGATTCTTCTCCCTTTGATATCATAAGAGACTAGAATTATACCAACATATTATATTATCTAAAGGTTAAGTACCAAAATTAAGCTTTTACTCTGATTGAGATAAGAAGTCATAGGAAGGTTTGAGCAGAGAAATGAAGTGATTTGACTTATGTAATTTCATTTGCTGTATTGAGGATTGAAAGAATGCCAGGTTGGAAACAGGGAGATCAGTAAGGAGCCAAATGAAATAACTTAGGAGAAAAATGATGGTGATTTCTATCAGGATGGTAACAGTGTGTGTGGTGAGATGTAGTCAGATTCCGAATGTATTTAAAAGAATTAATTGTGTAGACTTACAGTTTGACTGTTGGTTGTAAGAGAAAGAGAGGAGTACAGGGTAACTTCAAAGTTTTTGGTGTGAGGAACTAGAACAATGGAAATTCCATTTACTGAAATGGGGGGACTGAAGAGAAACAGGGTTTCTGGGGGAATATATGATTAGCTGAGTTTTAGACTTGTCAAATTTGAGTTACCTATTAGACATCTATGTGGAAAGGTAGGCATTTTTATATCTCAATATGATATACAAGAGAGAAGTCCTATCTGAAGATAGAAGGTTGGGAGTTCAATAGAGCATAGATGTTATTCAGAGCCATGACACTGAATGTGATCAACAAGGGAGTGGACCCAGGAACACTCCAACATTTAGAAGACAGGGAGATAAGTCAAAGAGATGGGGAGGAATCAGCAGTGTTTCCTGAGAAGGAGAGATGACAGAGAGAGACTGAGAAGCAGAAAAAAAAGAGTGCAATGTACTGGATATCAAGTGAAGAAATTGTTTTGAGGAGCAGAGTGATCAACTGCCAAATGTCCCCGTTAGGTCAAGTAAGATGAAGACCAAGAATAGACCTTTAGATTCAATGATGAGGGTGTCATTGGTGATCTTCAAAGGGAAGTTTCAATGGAACGTATTTAAGACAAACTGGGAAGAATTTAGAGGCAGTGAGTATATTTTACTATAAAGTACATGACAGAGCTTGGGCAATGGTTGAAGGAGGACTAGAATGATAGTGCATTTTCTGTTGTTAAAGTGCTAAGCATAGTGGGTTTTCTGTTGTTAACATTGTTGAAGAATAAAAATATTCCATTTTTATGCTGATGGGAAAGTTCCTATAGAGAGGCAAAAATGATCAGAGAGTAGATTTCTGGGGAAATTTTAATTTTATGTTCTATTTCAGGGAATTCAGAGACCATCCAAGGATGCCAAGTTACAAAATGCTGGGCACAGGGAAACCTATCTCCATGAGTCAGTGACAGTGTGTCTTTACTCTTTGGACCTTATTTTACTGCATTCTGTAGAGTTTCATGAGAGCAAGATATGCTAGTCTAAATGATGAGATTAAACCTTAGAGAAAGGACATGAAACAGAATTTTGTAATTGCAATTGAGAATTTTAAAAGAATTATATGTAAGGAACTGGATTATACTGGCACCATTAAAGGCATTTTTAGCACTAGTGTATATTTTATATCTAATAGAAGAATACTGCAAATGGGATTTTTATGATCTGAATAGATTGAGACCATTTCCCCATTCCCCTTCTTTCTCTGTGTTCACTGACGAACTTAACAATAAAATCCAACAAAATAGATATCAGTTTAATTATCCTTATACTTAAGCGCACTATATATACTCTGCAGACATATATATTGTCTGGTTCTAAAATAGTCAAATCAGGCTGTTTTCATGAAGTCAATGTTGCTGGCTTGAGATCAGCTTCTTTTTGTCAGCCATGTGGACAGCAACTCTACAAACACATAGATATAAATATAGATACAGATATATCTTAAATAAGATACTGGTCTTCAAGTCGATCCTTATTCCTTCTCTCAGACATCTCATCCACATTATAACAATGGGAATAATATACAATGCAACTAAACATTTTATTGATGTCTTCTGTTTTAAGAGATACTCAGATTAACTGTACTTTCTTACTTCTCATGTTTCTGTAAATTAAATTACATACATTACAGTGAGGATCATCATAAAAATAATAGCAGCTAACACTTATAGAGTGTATATTACCTGCCAGATACCATTCTAAGAACTTTATTGATATTAACTAACTTTTTCTTTTCAAAACCAAATGAAGTAAGTATATTATTTTATGTCTATTTTAAATATAAGAAAACTGAGGCACAGAGAATTTAAATAAGATGCCTAAGGTTACAAAGCTTGTAAGTGATGGAGCCAGATGTTACACCCTCCAGAGCATGACTCTTAAGTACTATGTTATATTGTTACCAAAAAACAAACAAATGAAAACAGGAATTCACAATTGGTTCTAGAGTAAGATGTTGGATAAGAGATTCTGGGAGGGGTTTTCTTGCTGTTAAAAGGGGGAATAATGAGTTTGTTGCATGGGATCATAAAGCATGGAGCTGTTGTAGCCACCTTAGAACCATGAGGACAGTAACTAACTCACTGAGGAAGGCAGGGTTAAAAATGAAAGAACTTGAGTCTATGATGACATTGCTGAAACGTTGATTACCCAATCTTGGAATAATCACCCTACTTACAGTGCTTCTGTTTTATGAGATAAGAAATGTTTCTCAGCATTCAAGTCACTCTTAATTGTATCTTATATTTCTTACAAAAAAATATACTAGCGGATGGAAGAAAAACTGCTTTAGGCTCCTTATGATCAGTAATTGGATTTTTGGCACTCATAAAAGAGGCAAGGAAAAGTTTAAAGTTAGATAAGATTTTTATTTGTCCTCTGTCTTTGAAGCCACACTCTACAGATATTTAAGTTTCTAAATGGAAACATACAAGGGAAATTAAATTAGTCATTTTCTCTGTTTTCTCCTAAAGAACTAAGTCCATGGTTTAATCATTATCTTTGACCATCAGTCTTGCATTCTTTAAGTTATAGTTGGCTTTTCTTTACCTTTCATATGCTGAGACGCATCAGCAAACAATGGTTACAAACGTGGGCTCTGAGCTCAGACTGAGAACACTCGAGCACAGGCCTCCTACCTAGTGCCATGCCAAGCCATACTGGAGCCAGAGACAAAAGGAAAAATCAGTAATAATGATTATGTCTTTATTTAAAATTTTGATACTTTGTTCATCACAGATATTTGCATTAATTTTAAAATTTTAAATCTTGCATTAAAATATTAATGTTAATTACTGAGGTTTTAGAGCTTTCTTAAATTTTGCCTCCAAAGTTAGTGCTTTACTCATATCACCCTAGTCCTTTGCTTCCCCTGCCTAATAGCTGTGTGATGTTGAGAAGATTAACTTTTGCCATGTCTATAAAATTCATTGATGCCTCTGCTTTTCCAAAGTCACTCTTCTAAATCAAGACTTCAACTCTCATGCCTGCTATCTCTATATTCAGCCTTCTGACACTACAATTTATAATATACCCAGTTCTGGCAAACAGTACCATATAGCAGAAAAAAAAGAACAAAGTACTCTGTGCTTCTGTTTGCTAAACTGTAAAATGACATAAGAGTAATAATACTTACCTCATAAGGTTGTTACGAGTATTACATGAGATAATACATTCAAATCACGTAGTACAAGTGCCTGGTAATCAACAAATGTCAATGTGGGGAAACAAGCAAGACTGTCTTTGAATCTTGAATGACCTAGAAGCTCCTTCCAGTTTGCTAGCTGGAGCCAGCAGCTTCTCCAGTTCTCAGTAGCAGGCTCTGTGTATGATCTCACCTTCTCTCAAGGTCTCCAAACGTGCACAACTGCCATTTCCAGTATCCCCTTAGGTATTCGGCACCTAAATTCTCACAGCATAGTACCCATGTCCAAATAAGTTACCCCTCAACTACAAGACTGCTCTCATGCGTTCCTTACCAAAGGAAAGAGCACCTAAGACGTGGGGGTCTCTCAATTTGCCCATCAGCATCTGTCTGAGCTACTTCACGGGATGGCGGGAGAACAGGGGTCCCAGGCATCTTCTGACCCTTCTACCCATGAGTCTCTGCCCCCACCAGATGGCGCTTATTCGTGTTCACTCAA